AGTCGGCCTCTGAAAGTGCTGGGATTACAGGCGTGAGCCACTGTGCTCAACCTGGAAATTACCCTCAAATCACACAAGCATTTCTCTCAATAAATTATATATATATATATATATTCATAGTTACACACATGGTGAAAATCGGACTATCGCCATGACTACTCACTTAGACAAGATAAAACTACCATCAATTGAAAATCAGCTAAGAAAGAATATAAATTAAGCCATATCCAAAATTGGAGTCATATTTGAAGATAAACACACAAACATATGTAATCTGATTGTGATAGACATGCATAATTTATCTCTTAATTAAACCTCAAATTGACTTAAAGTGTACAAACAGAATTGCAAATTGTCTAAAAATAGAATTCTTAAGTAAAACCAACAGACGCAATAAACTGAGGCTAGGAAACCGACACTCAGGCCAGGTGCGCTGGTTCACACCTGTAATCCCAACACTTTGGGAGGCTGAGGAGGGCAAATTACCTGAGGTCAGGAGTTCAAGACAAGCCTGGACAACATGGCAAAACCCAGTCTCTTTAAAAATACAAAAATTAGCCAGGAATGATTGCACATGCCTATAATCTCAGCTACTTGGGAGGCTAAGGCATGAAAATTTCTTGAATTCAGGAAGAGGTAGAGGTTGCAGTGAGCCAAGATTGCACCACTGCACTCCAGCCTGGGTGACAGAGGGTAACTGCATCTTAAAAAAAACAAAACAAAACAAAAAAACCCAAAAATTATGTAGGTAACTGCAATATTTAACTGTTACTGTGTACTCATCAGATACAGGTATTTTGAATCATTTCCATGCACGGTAAAGTAAAATTTTAGAGAATCTGCAGTTTAATAACAAATATGAGATTCTAATGAGAAACTTTTAATAAGTAATCATGTAGCTGGGCACAGTGGCTCAAGCCTGTAATCCCAGCACTTTGGAAGACCGAGTTGGTCAGATCACGAGGTCAGGAGTTCAACACCAGCCTGGCCAACATAGTGAAACTGCATCTCTGTTAAAAATACAAAAATTAGCCAGGCGTGGCGGCGTGTGCCTGTATTTCTAGCTATTCAAGAGGCTGAGACGGGAGAATTGCTTCAAACCAGGAGGCGGAGGTTGCAGTGAGCAGACATCGTTCCACTACACTCCAGCCTGGCAAACAAGAGCGAAAGTCCATCGGAAAAAAAATTGAAATGGAAAATACAAAGTAAGTATAAGGAGAGTGACTTCAGTAAGACAAAAACATTGAAAGTGCCTTACTTTCATATCCATATAGCAAAAACAAAATGTCACCCATCCTTGAAAAACAATGCCTTTTTGACAAAAATAGGCATTATGGCTCAAACCTGTAATGACAGCTATTTGGTACATTAAGGTTGGAGAACTGCTTCATTCCTGGATTTCAGACCAAGCTGGTTTATGTGGCAAGATGCCATCTTCAGAGTAAGTGCCTCTAACAGAGATTTGACATTCAGGGAGAAAGGTGTGAAATGCTGTGAAAGCTTATGATTGAAAAGTATTCTATTCAGAAGGCAGGCCCTCATTTGGGTTGAAAACTACAGGACCCCTGTTCTTGGTTACAGACCAGGATAGAGTTCACCCAACTTAGTCCCATTGAGAATTCTGTAACCATCCCAAACTTGTCCAGCCACAGGCTGGGAGAGGTTCTGCCATTCCAGAGACCAAAAGTAAGACACCATTTACAGCCATGTAGGCTGGCCTGCAGACCTTGGCCTTTACTCTAATGGGTGAAGAGGTTTAATGACTCAGTTTTGGTGCCCGAGCCAGTTTATGGTCAGTGCTGCCTATATAAAATCCCACAGTTACCTGTGAAAATGCTTTCTGGTACTCAGTGATAACAATACTTATCCACATCCTGATATAAGGCCCACTATATGCTGACCCTACTGCCAAAACATGCCCAAGTGTCTGCCCAATGGGAGCAAAGTCCTGAAGAATATGTAGTGTCTTCAAAATTAAAATGGGAATTACAACGACCCAAGCCCCTTAACAAACCAACTAAAGGTGGACCCTAGGGCAGACCCAGCAGCCTTGTGACCAAGCTACAACCCGTCTCCACTACAAGGTCAGAGGGCATCTTAGCACCCTAAGGGCCCAACCAAAGAAGATCTTTTTACCTTCTACAATCAGTTTATGAAAACTTGAAGAGGTGCTTTCTACATCAAATTCAGACACCAGTACAAACTATATTGTGCCCATGGTCAATGCTTCTATTCTAATGGAGCACTGGAGGTATGTGGCAGAAGAATTAGTCAAAGAACTAAAAAGGTCTATTGAAATTGAGAAAAAGTAAGTTAAAAGTTGCTGTTTTGGGCCGGGCGCGGTGGCTCACGCCTGTAATCCTAGCACTTTGGGACACTGAGGTGGGTGGATCACGAGGTCAAGAGATCGAGAGCATCCTGGTCAATATGGTGAAACCCGGTCTCTACTGAAAATACAAAAAATTAGCTGGGCATGGTGGCGTGTGCCTGTAATCCCAGCTACTCATTAGGCTAAGGCAGGAGAATTGCCTGAACCCGGGAGGCAGAGGTTGTGGTGAGCCAAGATCACGCCATTGCACTCCAGCCTGGGTAACAAGAGCAAAACTCCCTCGCGAAAAAAAAAAAAAAAAGTTGCTGTTTTTAGATCACACAATCTTATCTAAAAATACATAAACAGTATATTAAAACCTGTTTAAACCAATAAATACAATCAGTAAATTAGCCATATATGAAATTAACATACAAGTATATGTATGGTTTCATACACTTAAACTATCTGATAAAGAAAAAAATAGAAACAAAAAAAGGAAGAAAATATCTTATTTACTAGAGTAATAAATAATAAATTTCTGAGAACAAAATTAACCAAGGAGGTAAAAATCCTTTACACTATAAATAATCAATGAAAAAATTAGAGAAGATCCAAATCAATTTTAAAATAGTTTATGTCTATGGATTCAAAGAATACATATTGTTAAAATGTCATATTATTAAAAGTTATCTATATATTCAATAAACGTGGATTTTCATAGGAAATAAAAAATATAATTTTAAAACTTACATGAAACTAAACTTTAAATAGCCAACGCAATCTTGAGGAAAAAGAACAAAGCTGAAGGATATCATACTTATAATTTCAAACTATTTTTCAAGATGATATTGTAATAAAAACAGAATGGACTGTGTAGGACAATGAACAAAAAATGCTACAGAAACTACTGCTCTCAAACATTTCAGATCTAATGCAAAAAAATAAAATAAAACAAATCAAAAAATAGTTTTAGTTTCTAAATATTATGCAAGTATTTGTGTGTCCCAAAACAAATTGAAAAGCAGCCAGACTGTGCAGTCTCTTATATGTCATAAGGAGTACATTGGCTCTCATTGAGTCTAAATTAGTTCAACAATTGCAAAAAGCAGTGTGGAGTGCTGGGTATTGTGGCTCACGCTTGTAATTTCAGCACTTTTGAAGGCTGAGGCAGGCGGATCCCCTGAGGTTGGGAGCTTGAGACCAGCCTGACCAATATGGAGAAGGCATACCTTGAAGGAAGCTCACCAAAAGAAAAGCAGAATCCTTAGAGAATATAAAAGCTAAGACAGAAAATGTCTCTTTGTGAGAGTAAAATTAAAAACAGCTGTCCAGAACTATTTTCTTTGGAACACAGCTTCCCACATCACATTTTAAGGGCTGGCTTTCTCTTCGACCTTGGACCTCTTATCTGTGTCTTCCATTGTATTCATTTTCACTGGCACCTACCAGGGGATGTGGCAATCATCTCATGACTCTTCACAGTCAAAGATTTTTTTTCTTGCTCAACACAGTTCATCAGGTCTTGGTTAGAGACAAAAATACCTGTATTAGTTAAAAATAAAAAATATGAATCTGGCTCATATTCTCCACTTACAAGCTAGTAAGGTGCTCAGAGAGGATATAATAAAATATTCTATTGAATACCAAAATACTAATTAATAACAGAAATTTCTAAATATTTAGAAAATACTCTGAACTCATAGTTGTCTTTTCTTTTCAGAGGAAGTTTCGCTCTTGTTGCCAAGGCTGCAATACAATGGCGCAATGACGGCTCACCACAAACTCTGCCTCTGGCTTCAGGCAATTCTTCTGCCTCAGCCTCCAGTGTACCTGGCGTTAAAGGCGTGCACCACCATGCCTGGCTAATTCTGTACTTTTGGTAGAGATGTGGATTCACCATGTTGGTCAGGATGGTCTCAAACTCCAGGCACCTCAGGTGTTCTGCCTGCCTCAGCCTCCAAAAGTGCTGGGATTACAGGCGTGAGCCACCGTGCCCAGCGCTGCTTGTGGGTTTTTAAATTTTACTACCTGGTACTACTGCATCAAATATTGGTGGTGGCAATTACATTTTCAGGTGAGGGCAACGGTATTTTATGCCACTAAATTGCTGGAATTACCACTAATTTAGAGTGAAGAATACAGCTCAACTCAAGAATTTGGAAAGTTTGGATTAACATGACACATCTTAAAGAAATTCTTTTCTAAGTGCATAAATTCTGAAGATATTCTGGAAAAAGGGTTTCAGAAACTCTTTTACACCAGAATAAATTACTAAGAACAATCCTACAAAAAAAAAAAAAAAGAAATAAAACCTTTAGGGTGTATTATGAATTGTGTATTTAAGGTTTTTTGTTTGTTTGTTTTGGTTTTTGGTTTTTTTTTTTGAGACGGAGTTTCGCTCTTGTTACCCAGGCTGGAGTGCAATGACGCGATCTCCACTCACCAAAACCTCCGCCTCCTGGGTTCGGGAAATTCTGCTGCCTCAGCCTCCTGAGTAGCTGGGACTACAGGCACGTGCCACCGTGCCCAGCTAATTTTTTGTATTTTTAGTAGAGACAGGGTTTCACCATGTTGACCAGGGTGGTCTCGAACTCTTGACCTCATGATCCACCTGCCTCGGCCTCCCAAAGTGCTGGGATTACAGGCTTGAGCCACCGCGCCCGGCCTTGTGTATTCAAGTTATCCTTACCAAGGAAGACCAGGTTTCTGTAGTTTTCCAACATTACATCCCAATATAGATTTCGCTGTGCAGTGTCCAGGCAATGCCACTCCTCCAGAGAGAATTCTATGGCCACATCCCTAAACCCCAATGGTTCCTGAAAAACACACACACACATATTTTTACCAAGTGGTCATGAAAGGAATTTTAAATTTTACATAAGGCAATAATATGAATAGATGCTTTTCAATAGAAGACGTGGATGTGGCTAACAGCATATGAAAAAAAAATGATCATCGCTCATCATTAAAGGAATTTAAAAAGAAAAAAACACAATAAGATACCACCTCACCAAGTCAGAACAGCTATTCTTTTTTTTTTTTTTTTTTTTAAGACGGGGTTTCACCATGTTGGTCAGGCTGGTCTTGAACTCACGACCTCAGGTGTTCCGCCCGCCTTGGCCTCCAAAGTGCTTAGATTACAGGCGTAAGTCACCATGCCAGAACGGTTATTTTTAAAAAGTCAAAAAATGGCCGGATGTGGTTGCTCACGCCTATAATCCAAGCAATTTGGAGGCCAAGGCAGGCAGATCACCCGTGGTCAGGAGTTCAAGAACAGCCTGACCAACATGGTGAAACCCTGTCTTTAAAAAAAAAAAGTCAAAAAATAACAGATGCTGACAAGGTTGTAGAGAAAAAAGAATACTTATACTCTGTTGCTGGGCGTCTAAATTAGTTGAAGAATTGCAAAAAGCAGTGTGGTGTGTCGGGTATTGTGACTCACGCCTGTAATTTCAGCACTTTTGAAGGCTGAGGCAGAGGTTGGGAGCTCAAGACCAGCCTGACCAATATGGAGAGACCCCAACTCTACTGAACACAAAATTAGCTGGGGGGTGGTAGCATGTGCCTGTCATCCCATCTAATCTGGAGGCTGAGGTAGGAGAATTTCTTGAACCTCTGAGGCGGAGGTTTCGGTGAGCTGATATTGTGCCATTGCACTCCAGCCTGGGCAACAAGAGCAAAACTCAGTCTCAAACACACACACAGACACACACACACAAACAAAAACAAAACAAAAAAAGCAGTGTAGTGATTCCTCATAGAACTAAAAAGAGAAATATCATTTGACATAGGAAGCTCATAGTTTTGTATATACCCAAAGAAATATACATTATTTCATTAGTATAAAGACATGTCCACATGCATTTTCATTAAAGCACTATTCACAGTAGCAAAGACCTGGACAGGCCCTAAATGTCTATCAATTGTAGACTGGATGAAGAAAATATGGTATGGTCAGATGTGGTGGCTCATGCCTGGAATCCCAGCAGTTTGGGAGGCTGAGGCAGGTGAATTGCCTGTGCTTAGAATTTTGAGACCAGCCTAGGCAACATGAGAAAATCTGGTCTCCACAAAAAATACAAAAACCAAAACAAAACAAAAAACTGGCCGGGCATAGTAACGCACACATGTAGACCCAGTTACTGGGATAATGATGTAGGAGAGAATTGCTTGAGCTGGAAAGGCTGAGTCTAAAGAAACCAATATCATGCCAGGTACCCTAGCCTGGACAGTAAGTGAGACACTGTCTCCAAAAATAAATTGAAAGATTTAGTAAAGAAAAAAATATGGTCCATAAACATCATGGAATACTCTGTGGCCATTAAAAAAATAATAATAATAATGTCTTTTGCAATAAAATCAATGAAGCTGGCGACCATTATTAGAAAACTAATGCAGAGGCCGGGTGCGGTGGCTCAAGCCTGTAATCCCAGCACTTTGGGAGGGCGAGGCGGGTAGATCACAGGGTCAAGAGATCAAGATCATCCTGGTCAACATGGTGAAACCCCATCTCTACTAAAAATACAAAAAATTAGCTGGGCACGGTGGCGCGTGCCTGTACTCCCAGCTATTCAGAAGGCTGAGGCAGAACTGCCTGAACCCAGGAGGCAGAGGTTGCAGTGAGCCGAGATCTCGGCATTGCACTCCAGCCTGAGTAACAAAAGTGAAACTCCGTCTCAAAAAAAAAAGAAATAAAGAAAAAGAAAACTAATGCAGAGCACAGGCGCGGTGTCCATGCATGTAATCCCAGAAATGTGGGATGCCGAGGCGTGTGGACCACCAGAGATCGGGAGTTTGAGACCAACCAGACCAACAAGGAGAAACCCCACCTCTAGTAAAAATACAAAATAAGGGGCCGGGCGCGGTGGCTCAAGCCTGTAATCCCAGCACTTTGGGAGGCCGAGGCGGGTGGATCACAAGGTCAAGAGATCGAGACCATCCTGGTCAACATGGTGAAACCCCGTCTCTACTAAAAATACAAAAAATTAGCTGGGCATGGTGGCACACACCTGTAATCCCAGCCACTCAGGAGGCTGAGGCAGGAGAATTGCCTGAACCCAGGAGGCGGAGGTTGCAGTGAGCCCAGATCATGCCATTGCACTCCAGCCTGGGTAACAAGAGCAAAACTCTGTCTCAAAAAAAAAAACAAAAAAAAACAAAATAAGACTGGGTGCAGTAGCTCATGCCTGTAATCCCAACATTTTGGGAGTCCAAGCTGGGTGGATCACCCAAGGTCAGAAGTTTGATACCAACCTGACCAACATGGAGTAACCCCATCTCTACTAAAAATAAAAAGAAATAGTTGGGTATGGTGTTGCATGTCTGTAATCCCAGCTACTTGGGAGGCTGAGGCAGGAGAATCACATGAACCTTAAAAGCAGAGGTTGCTGTGAGCCAAGATTGCGCCACTGAACTCCAGCCTGGGCAACAAGAATGAAACTCCACCTCAAAAATAAATAAATAAATAAATAAATAAACCCAAACAAATAAATAAATAAAAATCCAAAATTAACCAAGTGTGGTAATTCCAGCTACCCAAGATTCCAAGGCAGGAGAATTTCTTGAACCCAGAAGGTGGAGGTTGCAGTGAGCAGACATTCCAGGATTGCACTCCAGCCTTGGGCAAAAAGAGCACAACTCCATCTCAAAACAAAACTAAGAAAACTAATGCAGAAGCAGACAACTAAATGGATGTTATTATTTATCAGAGCTAAATAATAAAAACACATGAACACACAAAGAGAAGAACAACAGACACTGAGGCCTAGTTGAGGGCGGAGGCTGTGAGGACTAAGAGGATCAGAAAACATACCTGTTTGGTGCTATGAGTGGTACCTCAGTGACAAGATACTCTGCACACCAAACCCCATGACATGATTTTAGCTGAATAAAAAACCCACATGTGTACCCCGAACCAAAAATAAAACCTACAAGAAAAAAAGAAATTCTGGGTGAAGGTGAATGTAGGTGAAAGGACTGATTTTTGCCACAGATAGTGGGCCAGGTGGGGCTGTTCTCTGATTGATTTGTTTGCCTGCAGGCAGATGAGATGATGAACAGGAGGTCCAGAACCTCAGGTGGATGGGAAAAACCGCTTGCTGCTGCAGATTCAGTGTCTGAAGGTGGGGATATGCCAGGAGACTTGCAGATACTTGTGGGTTCTTATTATGAAACACTACGATCGCCGGGCGCGGTGGCTCAAGCCTGTAATCCCAGCACTTTGGGAGGTCAAGGCGGGTGGATCACGAGGTAAAGAGATCGAGACCATCCTGGTCAACATGGTGAAACCACGTCTCTACTAAAAATACAAAAAAATTAGCTGGGCATGGTGGCGCACGCCTGTAATCCCAGCTACTCAGGAGGCTGAGGCAGGAGAATTGCCTGAACCCAGGAGGCGGAGGTTGCGGTGAGCCGAGATCGCGCCATTGCACTCCAGCCTGGGTAACAAGATCGAAACTCCGTCTCAAAAAAAAAAACAAAAAAACAACTCCTACCCTGACTCCATTTTCGGCCTCAGCCCGCCAGTACCCAGGTGAATAAATAGCCTTGTTGCTCACACAAAGCCTGTTTGGGGATCTCTTCATTCAGCGCGCGGGTTTTAACACTGACCTCAACTGATCTGCTGGCCCCGGCCATCCAAAATGCTGGGATTACAGGCGTGAGCCACCATGCAAGGCCCCATAAATTTTTAATAGGAGAAAAGTGAAACTGTGAACCCCAAGGGCCAAAGCCCTTCCCATTCAGTAACTCCCACCTCCAGTCAGAATTCTGCCCTGATCACCCTTCTGTGGTCCCTGCACAACGTGGGAGAAAAGCGGCGCTGACGGTGCAGAGCTGCCGAGAGAGGGCTCCAGGTCAGGGGAGTCAGAAGACACAGGATGCCTGGGGCCCGCCTGTTAGCGCAGCCGCCATCTTAGGGCTGAAGCGGACAGAGGCCGAGCTGGGCAAGGAGAACTCCCGCACAGATTGGGGAGCTGACTGCGGCGATGCCTGAGTCTCACCACAGCCGCTCCCCACCAGTTTCAACCTGTCCCTCCCCTCTCTCTGGATATCGGAAAGGGACTCTCACCATTTCTAAGCCTCCAGGGGGTTCCTGCCTTTTAGCTGTGCATCTCCCAATGCCTGAAGGTCACAGGGCCACAGAGGATAGGCCTCTAGGAACTGAGGACACAGCAGCGAAGATGAGACGTGGAGCTTTCACTGCAGCAGGAGAAAAACGCCCGCCAAACCCAGAAACCGCCCTCTTTGCGGCAGCTACGTGCCTGATTGAACAGCTTCCAACCCAACGTCCCTGATTGGATAATGCTTAAGGCCCCGCCCCCAAGACCCTGAGGGACCAGAAGATGGGATCAGATGCTGGCAGGAGTGAAATAGCCTAAACTGCAGCCTTTCAGGCAGAGCTTCCAGGGCGTGGTGGCATATGCCTGTAATCCCAGCTACTTGGGAGTCTGACACAGGAGAATAGCTTGAACGCAGAAGTGGAAGGTTGCAGTAAGTGGTTATTATACCACTGCACTCCAGCCTGGGCAACAGAGCAAGACTGTCTCAAAAATAAAACGAAATAGGCCAGGTACGGTGGCTCACACCTGTAATCGCAGCATTTTGGGAGGCTGAAGTGGGTGGATCACTTGAGTTCTGAAGTTCAATATCAGCCTGGCCAACATGGTGAAACCCCGTCTCTACTAAAAATACTAAAACTTAGCCGGGCATGATGGCAGGCACCTGTAATTCCAGCTACTCGGGAGGCTGAGGCAGGAGAATCATTTGAACCCGAGACGTGGAGGTTGCAGTAAACCAAGATCGCGCCACTGCATCC